GTCCGTAAGATTTCCAAATCGGACTTTGGAAATGTTTGGAGTTCTAAAAATTTATAATTCTCCGGAACTCCAAAAATTTCGAAGCCAGAAGCCACCGCGAGATAAATTCGGACTGAATTCTGTAGTCAATTAACTGAAGAGGCCATGCGTTGAGCGACTGAGTGAAGAAACACGCTGGTGCTCTCCATCTTGCAATGGTCCAGGAACTCTTTCTAAGCCTATAGAATTCAGAAGTTTCGTCATGATTTTTTCTGTGTTCTACAGAGGTAATAGGGACCCCGCTAACGCAGATGGTGGATCAAAATGGGTCAACAATCTGCATTAACTTGGCCACGCCATGTCTGCCTCGAAATGTTCAATGTTCAATTAGAATCGATCGGTGACACAAATGATGTGCGTAGTTTTGAACATGCGCGCTCGAAAATCTTAGTGACAAAAACCTCCACGCCAGACGTTGCAGTCTCAGTAGTCGCCGCCCATGACTAACATTAAGCCGTGGCTTACGGTTGGATGAAAATGATGACGCATCTGGATCTGAAAAGACGTTGAACGCTTTAAGATATCAAATTGTACATTTAGAAGGCACTTTGGGAATATATTTCAGCGGTGCAGTTCTATACGCCAAAAACGAATTGGTATTAACAGCACCGCGAAATGGTGCTGGCTGGAATCTGACGGGGGACCTAGGATGGTAAAGGTACGACCCCTTTTATTCGTGTTGCTGTAAATGTTTACCTGTCCAGAGGATAGCCTTAGAGTTGTGGAAAAGATACGCTCAGTCTTATCTTTGAACGGTGCGAATTGATTTTGAAAGGCATTCGGAGTCGTTAGTTCACCACGGTCATTTTCGCGCGGGGCTTGTGGCGTTACTTGCGGTGGCCAACGCCATTCGGCTTTCCCGAAACTGTTACCCAGACCACCGCTGTCCTCGCTCCCGAGATTTCAGGCGCGCAGGCCCGAGCCTTTTGATGTAACTTGCTTCACTAATCGATCCTGCAAAAGAATGAACGTTCTGAGGCAAACATGGGTTGGCCTTGTTTGTTTTTAAACTCATTTCGATCCACACCTTCAGCACTAATGAGACACCTGATTTCTTTCCGGACAAAGGGACCTCTCAAGAAGAATACTGGCGGGCACATTATTGTCCCCGGTCAGGAGCTGAAAGTCCATTCCATCCCAACGCGGGTTGTCTTGCGGCTGCCTTCTGGTGACGAGGGGCAGGATCCCCTGGCCGATCCGGAGGCCCCTGGAGGGATATATCATATCACATTGGTCCTTTCCTGGCGCGCAACGCCTTCTGACCCGCGCAGTTTGCTCCGGATCGACACAGGAATCGTCACTGACGCAACAACATCCCTGCCCGCCGCAGGTGGTTCAGTAATTGGCGCAAAGACTCCAGTTCGGCTGAAAGGGCCCGTGCTGGAATGGTGTTGGACGGCCGCCGTTCGGTACTGCTGGCCCTGACTGGCACAGGATGCTTCCATCGTCGCAATGTGAAACCTCATCATAAGTTATGATGCTACCTTCCATGTCAGAGGGTCCCGCAAAAGGTCCTCTATCGTTCGGGGTCCCTTTCCTGTCCCCGTTGAGCAAATATTCTTCCGGCCGTCTCGAGGTTCGTTGTTGACGCAGAACATATTGTTAAGCACTGGGCCCCTGACCGATACAGAAGCCCCGCATTGTTGCAGGGGCCCCGACCAATACGAATCGCGGGCCCGGCCTTGTCCCCGCTTGGCAAATGGGCCCCAAGAGATCAGACCGACACGAAACCGAGTGTTCGGTGTTGGTGATCCCTGACCGTAATTGAGGAAATCTCCATCTAAAGGGTCCTGAATCGGTACAACAGACCTTTTAACGGTCATTTGAGATCACAGCCCTACGGTAGGGTCCTTAACGTAAGCCACAGCCAGCCCTTTTAGCCCTTCAGCCTTGCAAAAGCAGGGTCCTTGATCTTTGGTCTCGAGGGGCCCTTCGTCCCCTCTTCGGACCTCCTCAAACAAAGCCTGTGACCGACTCGAAGCCCCTGACCGACGCAGGGGCCCAACCATTGTTTCAGGGACCCAAACCAATTCAAGTCGTGGCCTCTGGCCTTGCTCCTGTTTGGAAAATGGGGCCCCCAGGGTTCAGACTGACAGGGAGCCAAATGTTCGGGGCTCGTGATCTCTGGTCGACCGAGACACCCGCAATGTCTCAGAGGGTACTCAAACGGTGCAGGGTAACCTCTGACTGACCTTTTAGGCCACGACTCTACGGGCCGCGATTTTTATGTGATTTACAGTCAGTCCTTCGGGCCCTCATGCCCTCCAACCGAGCCCTTGATCTTTGGCTCTGCTGGACCGCCTTGGGCCCTCTTCACGTCTCCCGAACACTGCCCTTGATCGGCTCGGGGCTCCCTGCGAACACGGTACCCTCTGTTACGCACTGTGGGCCCCTGACAGATACAGTGGCCCTGACCAATGTAAATCATTGTCCCCGGCTCTGCAGCTGATTGAGAAGTGGGCCCTTAGGCCCATATCGAATCAGAGCTGACTGTGCGGTTATGATGGTGCCTGACCGACATATAGGCCCATATTACTCCGGGGTCACCCATCGCCGCAAAGGGCTCTCTGAATGCAATTTGAGGGTATGTCCCTGAAGGTTGGAGAGACTGAATAAGACCCGACCAGCATTTTGTGTCATTAAGCCCTTCAATCGGACCTTTGATTGTCGGTTCCAGTGGGCTCTCCAGGCTCTTCGGGCCTTCTCAAACACTGCCTCTGGCCGACCCGGGCCCCTTGCCAACGCAGGGCCCCAGTTAGGCGCTATGGGGTCCCTGACAGACGCTGGAGCTCCGAACAATGCAAATTGATGGGTCCCGCCTTGCCCCTGCTTGATTACTGGGCCCTCAAGCCCATGCCAACACGTTGCCGACTGTGCGTAATTGGTGCTGTCTGACCGACATATAGGCGCTTATCGACTCAAGGGCCCCTGATCAGCGCGCAGGGCCCTCTGGATGGCATTGAAGTGCCCGGCCCTGCGGGCCGGGGTCCTGAAAGCGACCCCCGGTTGGCCTTTCGGGCCCTTACTCGTAGGTGCTGAGGGGTCCTTCGGGCCCCTCGGAACCTAAGGGGGCCCAAATCTCTTGTGCCCCTCCCCCCCCCCCCCCCACCCCGATGCCCGCGATACTGGCTCGAACTCGTTGGTTGAGATGCAACGAATCTGTTCAAACTACCACTGAGGATACAACAGTACAGTCTCGGGAAGGCAGCAGCTATTTTTCTTTGTTCACACTTTGTCTTGACATCCCGGATGAATCAAATCTCTGAATTCATGCATGTGAGCCTAATCCTATGCAACGATGTAAACAAGCTGCAAAGATGGCGTATGCTTTGATGTTCCGTCCGTGAGCGGCACACTCAAACGGCGAAATCCAATGCGTTCGAGCTTTCTCCGAACAGCTTCCAAAAAACAAAAAACAATTCACATTCGTTCGGATGAAGCCAAACTGAATAAAATATGCAACGAGACAAAATCACACCAGCTTGTTTCTGTCTGGCCGAATAAAAAGGCCGGCAATGTCGGGTGCACGGCTGCCTTCCGGTCTATTTAGGAGCCACGGGTCCCAAGGTGGCAACGGCTCAGACAAACGGCGTTGGCCGTCACCGTTGGCCCGAATCACGAGCGCGGGCGCCGATCGGGGCCGCCATGGGGCCGATCTGTGCACTGCGTGTCGACAGGGACGATATATGAGGCGGGCGCACAAGGGACACGGGACGCGTCAGACCGGGACTGTCCAGGCTGAGTCTCGCTTGATCCTCCAGCATCCGGCCGGAAATGACACGAGCGGAGCAGCAATGGGGCTCGGGATTGGAGGACGGAGCGTGGCTGGTATCGCCGCTGACATCGGCTTGGTTCGCTCATATTTTTTTTAAGGATTGTGGTCCTATCCGCCGAACGGTCGTTCACGCCTCAGTTCCTAATCCTCCTCGGGAGTTCCCGCGGATGAGTTCGAGACCATATAGGTCGACTGTAATATTGCTGTGCACCCTTTTTTAACGAGTGTTAAAATTTGTTACTCCTGAAAAGGTGTTAGCACCAACCAAGGCTCGTTAAAGCAGAGGTGAATTTATGTGTGCGGTGCCGTTTTGATGTGATATCACGCAGGATCCGATGCATGTGCACTGCGCGTTGACCATTTCAAGAGGCTCCCTCATATCGCTATGGGGTTAAAAGGGCGCGTTCGTGGCATCGAGCAGCAGTGAAGAAACCGGGTTTGGTCGGCGCCCCATCAGTCGTTGTTTACACGGATAGACGACAGAATACGGCTATATAAACCTGGGCAGTTGTGACGGCAAGGGGAATATACTGACGAAGCATTGTGAGCCAAAACGCGCATTAACTAGTACCCTGGTAATCGAGCAACCCCTAATATTGTATACATGACCGTATATTTCCGCGTACGTGAGTGTGTATGTTTGCGAATGCTGTGCAACGTGTGTGCAATGTGAAATTTTCGGATTGCGATACAAACAGTTTAATATGGCTGCCTGGTTCCCACATTTGGTTTACCTGGAAAATGCTAAACCTGTCCCCCTTCTCGCAAACGCCGTGATCGACATCGGTATCGGACGGGCGTGAATTTGTCAAAGTCACGAACGTTGAAGTCGTCTCATGCATTTGCGCAAATACCGCTGAAATCCGTGCGGCAGTCTTTTCCTTGCGTGTGACCAAACTATTCAACTGCGTACAGACACACATGATGACACAGACGTACGATCAGGAATGTGTGGACTATGTGTTAGATAATATTGGAATCATGGAGAATCACCATGTAACGGCTCAGAGAGCGTGTCAAAACGGAAATTCGAGCTGTAAGCGCTTTAGCTGTCAGCCTCAAGCATCATAAGATATGGAAGTCCAACTTACGAAGCATCCCCATTTTGCGGTGTATTCGGCGCAGCTGTTTCGACAACCGATGTAGTTTACATTCGGTCGCTAAACTTTATTCCCCTACCGTTCATTCCTTCCGTGCCATCGCCTTGTCTATCCGCCTATTCTCTCCATCACGTCTATCTTACTAGCGTTTCTAAAAGTTTGTTTCTTGCTACGTGCATATGGTGGTTCTGTGCGTCCTGTATCTGGAGAATTTGTGGAGTGGTGGGTGTTTTTCACGATGTTATTGTGCCTGTCATTCTCCGCTTTACCATGCCAGGGAGTTGTGTGGTCTCACTTTTTGCAGGGCGTTGCCTTCATGGAAAATGCATCCCCAGGCAAATAGATGTGGCATAAATGCAGTGTTATTAGGAAAGCAGCTGCTTGAGTTTCTCACTTAGACATTGTATGCATGCAATCCATCAGAGCTCTGCTACAAGTGACAGTATGGGCCATGCAGTCTTCAGAGATGGCATTTGTTTCAAGGATGTGCAGAGGCAGATGCTGTTTTCCATTTTATTCATTGTCCACAAGTGGTGTTTGTATAGTTCTGTCAGATGTAACTTGCATTGGCAAGTAACTGGAAACAGCATTGCCAACAAGAGTTGTATCATTCACATCATTTCATGCCATGAATGTTTGTACTATTTCACAATAAATACTGGTTGTGAAATCCTACCTAGGGTTTTATTGTGTTGTGCTGACAGTATTTCTTGATATTGCAGAGTACCAGTTCACATTTGGGAGCATGCCAGCAATAAAAAAGGCTTCTCATTAAACATAATTTAGTGATGACTTGCCAATTTATTTGCATTTGCCAGTGGATTATTCTTTCCATTGTGATAGCATATCCACTGATCCCTTACCAAACTAAGGCAGTGAACTTGATCCCTTGATGCTTTGAATTATCAATGCTAGAATGTTAGAACCCTCAATCAGTACATGGAAGATGGCAAACACCTTGGTAAAGCAAAGTATCTGGTCATGGCTTGGAATGTGCATGATATAGCATTCAATATTTTGGAGTGTTGTGCATGGTTTGTTTGGTGTTATTATTTATTCATTATCTTTTGCCAGATGGACCATCCTGCTGGCCTTGATTTGATGGCAACTGTCGTATCTCATCTTGAATATTGCACTCGGCATGGGGAGACAGTTTACATGGAAAAGGATGAGCAGGTTCTAGTGCTTGAAAAAACAAATGAAACTTGGTGGAAGGTGAGGATTTCCGGGCCTGTGCAACCGAAGCTGAATTTATGTCATTGTGCTGTGTGCATCAGCTTGTAAGTGTGAAGGGCTTTGCCATGTCAGTAAATGCAGAGGAAGCCAAAAAGATATGTCAGTGCAGCTCTCTCTTCCATCTTGCTGTTTAAAATTTGGTTACTCCTATCGCCCTCCTGCCTGCATGGTTGTGTTTGCATTTCAGTTATAGATCTGCACCAACTGGCCCCTAACCTCAGTGGTATCCAAACCAGCCCTTTGTTTTTGTTTGGTTGGGCCAGCATGCACATGCAGACAGGCCACTGACAGCATTGGCGCCGGCGCCGGTAGGTGGTGCGGAGCGGCGAGGAACGGCCGTTCTACGCGCCCGTCACCAACCTCCGAAGCCACCTGGTGCCGCGCGTCCGCCTGCGGCCCGGCGCTGTCCGGGACCGGCGCAGGTCAGTCGGCGGCCGCCGCACGCCCCGTCTGTTGGTCGGAGTGGGCTGCTCCAGACAAGCGTTTAGGGGCCGTGAGGCGGTCTGGTCGTCCCACGGAACAACCTCTTCCGGATCAATGATCACCATGCATAAAGGCCTCAGCAATGTGTAATTTCTTTGTCATCAGGAATAAGTTTATATTTGCATGTTATGAATGCATCAGTTTCAACTGCATGATGTAAGGCGTCGCTCTAGTCGTAGCACTCGTTATGTGCTGGGCCGTCCTGACCGCCAGCCCGTCCTTGCAGGGCGCCGCTGTCAACGGCCGACGCCGAGCGACACCTGGGCCAGCAGTATGACGTCACCAGCTGGGCGGGTGACGTCAGGGCGTGGGAGGGCGGCGCGGCGGCCGGGCCGGCGCGTTCCAGCTCTGCTGACGATCTTCTTTGTGAGCTGTCAGCGCCGCAGCGGCCGAGTGGGCGGCCGTCGGTGCGGCGGCGGCCAGCCGTGGTGCCCGGCCGCCGCCAGTCCTGGGCGCCAGCCGCCGCCAACTCCGCACCGGGGGTGGCCGGCGGCGAGCATGGCGCCAGCGAGACGGCCGATGCCTGGGGGCGTCGCGGTAAAGTCGAGACGTTCACTCGTGTAGAGGCTGGCTACAGAGGTCCGACTGCCCCGCCCGTCCCGCACAAGACCGGCGCTGCCTGCAGTCACGCGGACGAGGGTTGGCTTTCCGCCGACGCAAGTAGCTCGAGTGAGCGCAGGGGCAGTGATGCTTCCCACATCGCCCCTGTGTCGGGTCGTACGTGGGAGCGCGACGCCGGAAAGGACCCATGCTCCTCCTCCGTGACAAGTCTCAATTCGGAGCGCGATTACAGCAGCGCAGCTGGAGCAGGCGGCACTGAAAGGAACCCAATCCCCGCTTCCGGGAAAAGTCACACCTTGGAGCGTGACGCCAGGAGGGGGCCTGCGCCGTCCTCCGTGGCTGCTCACGGCTGGGAACGTAGAAGCAGCGACACTCCTCACATCCTGTCCGGGACGGCCCACACCTGGGAGCGCGGGACCGTGAGGGAGCCGGCGCCCTCTGCCGGCGCGAGCCACACCTGGGAGCGGGGCAGCAGCCGGGCAGGCGGCGCCGGCGTCAGCAGCAGGGACCCGGCCGTCGGCGGCTCGACCCCGGTGCTGGCGAGCGCTGAGAGGCGCGCCCCGACGCCGCCGCCGCGCCGGCGGCCGGCTCGCGCCCCGGCTCCGGAGCCGCGGCGCGCCGCCGCGCTGGGCGGCCTCCGGTCACCGGTCGGCTCGCTGGCCGACCTGCGCGCCGCCATGCCCGGCCTCGAGTCCCACAACGCCAGCTACCGGCGCACGGCCGAGCGACTGGCCGAGGCGGCGCGCGCCCGGCCCGAGCGGCGCGACACGCCGCCGAGGGGGCCGCCGCCGCCGGTCGGCGCGCCGCAGCCGCCGCCGCCCGTTCAGCTGCAGGTGAGCGGCGCGCCGGGCCGGCGTCCCGTGGCGAGCGTGGAGCAGAGCGCATCGCCGACTTGACGCGCGCCGCGCATCGTCCGCTGCCTGTGGCAGGGTTGTGTCGTATTTTCGTTTTCAGTTGATCTTTTCTACTCTCTGGAGTGAGTTAGCGATGTGACAGGTCAGCACGCTTGTTTACCATTGCTCTGCTACCACGGGGCCTGCACGATGCATGTCTGGCATTTATGTCGCCGTGTCTGGCTGCTCGGCATGTCTGGCTGCAGCTCACGATCAAGAACGTGTGAACTTCCTAATCATCCAGAGGAAGATCGGAACTTGTGTGAGTGACTGCAGGTTACTGTGACTGTTCGCTGCGGTGGCTGCCTGTGCCACAGAGGCAGCCTTGCGCGGGTGACTGCCTCCTCCGCTGGGGCTGGAGTCATTCCCGTCCCCTCGTGGCGGTGTGACACAGCGTTGTCGTGGCACGTGCAGGAGTCCTCGGCCCTTCAGGAGGGGCGGTGTGGCCCGGCGCCGGTGCCGCACGTGCTAGAGACGCCGCTCCGCCAGCTGGACGACAGCTGGGCGGAGTACAGTCACACCAGCGGCAGCTACTTCTACAACTCGGAGACGGGCGTCAGTCGCTGGCGGCCGCCGGAGCTCCAACCGCCGCCCGAGCTCGGCGAGGACGACCTCTCGGTGAGTGGCGCGACGCGAGCCCGCCAGACCGCTCCGCTTGAAGGACGTTGGCCCGGTATTTTGAATTGGGGCTGGTGCTCCGACCGTTCGCGAGTGTCTTTGACAAGAGCTTGACACATCAGTAAAGAGATCAGTGCACAGGTTCTGTTGCCCGTCAGGTCGAGCCTGTGCTTCGGTCAGGTGGAGCTGGCTACCGTACTGCAGAATCGCGGGCCGTGCGGTGTCTTACGGTGCCATATCACCTGCCGCGAGTCGCCGTCGTGATACCGGAATCGTCCGGGCCGGTCCGCCCCCCCCCCCCCCCCCCCCCTCCCGCTCCCCGCTGAGCGGCCGCCGCTGAGTCGACCACGCGTCCGTGAGCAGCGTCCACAGCACGGGCGGGGCGCGAGTGTCCACCCGTCACTGACGCCCGTCGCGCGCGCTCTCCAGTCGTGCGACAGCCTGGATGACTCGGACGCCTCTGACGGCGGGCCGTCGCTGCTGGACGCCGAGCTGCCGCTGCCGGACGGCTGGCGCCGGCGGCGCGACTCGCTCGGCGAGCCCTGCTTCGTGCGGGACACCTCGCCGACCAGGGTGGGTGGCCTGGGGGCCGGCGGCGTGCCCCGCCAGCCGTGGCGCACACCGGCCGCCGGGCTGACTGACGGGGCGCTGTGATGATTGGTGCGGCAGCGAGCTCAGCGTGTGGGGCATGTCGTACTGAAACGCGTGTCAGTTGCTGACACACGAGACAGCTGGTTGGGATGGACGCGGGTATTGGTGGGCGATGTTCTTTGTGTTGAGGCGTGCTTGCGTTTAGCAGGGTGACTGTCGGTCACGCCAGGAAGCCACCTCGTTCTGCAGGCAGGTGCTGACGCTGCTGGGAGATCGCTTGGTTTGCAGCCAAGAGGCTGTGAGTTCGAGAGACACTGGCAGCTGGGTTTCGGTGTCCGTGTCCCACCCGACCCCCGCATCCTCCGTCTTGCTTTATCTTGCGTCCTCTCGACGCCCCGCTTGTCCGGGGCAGGCTGTATGCGCCAGCCACGAGTGGGCCGAGAGGCCCCTGTAGCGGACCCGGACCGGGCGCCCGGCGCGTACCCCGCAGAGCGTTCCTGCGTGGACCAAGGCTGAGGGCTTGGTCCTTCAGGCGTATGTAGTCCTGCCACACCATTACTCATTCTCCTTTATCCTATAGCCCGGAAATGATCAGTACTGGTCGAAAGGGCTCTAAGCCGAATAACCAAATAGCCATAGGTCGTGTCTCAAAGCGTGGACAGACGCCTCTCAGCGCACTAATGGCGCGCGTCACGCATTGATGACAGCCGCGCGCCGCCGGCAGTGGTACGGCTGCGTGGACGCGGACGAGCGAGTCTACTTCTTCCCCGAGGGCAGCTCCGAGTCGCACTGGGCGCTGCCGGCCGCCGCCGGCGAGCCCGGCCCGCCGCGCCCTCTCCCGGTGAGCGTCGCCGCTCGGGCGGATGGCAGAGCAGCGCAGACGTCCCGAGGGGCGCGTGGGCTCGGCAGGTCGGTCGTCACAGCGTGGGTGAATGGTCGCTGCAGCTCCCGACGCCTAACGGACTTTGGCTGCAGCCGGATGACTGGGCACTGCACGGGCACCGGCTCAGGATGCTGGAGCGACGGCCGGAGGGAAGGACCGTCGGGTCGTGACCGCGCTGTCCGTCGGTCTGCTGTCTGTTGCCCGTGCCGGTCGCGCTGCTGGTCACCGGCCACCGTTCGGGTGCAGAGCCCACGGCGGGGGGCGAGGCGGTGTCGTGTGCGTGGTCAGGCAGGGTCGTGCTGTGTCCCCCGGTCGTGGACGGTTCCAGTCCCCTCTGACCGTGGACGTGTCTGTCGCCAGGACGTGGTGTCGGCGCCGGCGGTGCCGCCGCCGCCGGCGCGGTCCAGAATGGCGGCCCGCGCCCCGCTCGGTCTCCGGGCGAAGCCGGCCGCCGCTGCCGCCGCCGTCTCGGCCGGCCTCGGCACCGGATGGCCGCAGCTGCGCGCCGGCGAGGGGCCGCTGCTCGTTCTCCGACAGGTCAGGGCAGGGTGTCCTCTGACAGGTCAGGGTAGGGCGTCCTCTGGCAGGGTAGGTCGGGACAGGGTGTCCTCCGACAGGTCAGGCAGGTTGTCCTCCGACGGGTCAGGGCAGGGTGTCCTTCGACAGGTTAGGGCGGGGCGTTCTCTGGCAGGTCAGGGCAGGGCGTCCTCCAGCATGGCGGATCAGGACAGGGTGTCTCGGCGGATCAGGGCAGGGCGTCCTCCGGCGAGTTAGGACAGGGTGTCCTCCGGCAGGTCAGGGGCAGGGCGTGCCTCCGGTGGGATCAGGGCAGGGTGTCCTCCGGCAAGTCAGGGTAGGGTGTCCTCTTGCAGGTCAGGGCAGTGTGTCCTCCGGCGGGTCAGGGCAGGGTGTCCTCCGGCGGGTCAGGGCAGGGCGTCCTCCGGTGGGTCAGGGCAGGGTGTCATCCGGCAGGTCAGGGTAGGGTGTCCTCTTGCAGGTCAGGGCAGTGTGTCCTCCGGCGGGTCAGGGCAGGGCGTCCTCCGGTGGGTCAGGGCACGGTATCCTTCGACAGGTAAGGGCAGGGCGTCCTCTGGCAGGTCAGGGCAGGGCGTCCTCCAGCATGGCGGGTCAGGGCAGGGCGTCCTCGGGCGGGTTAGGACAGGGCGTCCTCCGGCAGGTCAGGGCAGGGCGTCCTCCGGTGGTTCAGGGTGGGGCATGGCAGCATATTCTCCGGTCAGGAGGTTGGGCTAGCAACTGGTGGCCGGTCGGGTGACGCTGACCCCTCTCCCTCTCCCTCTCCCTCTCCTCTCCCTCTCCCTCTCCCTCTCCCTCCCCTCTCCCTCTCCCTCTCCCTCTCCCTCTCCCTCTCCTCTCCCTCTCCCTCTCCCTCTCCCTCTCCCTCTCTCCCTCTCCTCTCCCTCTCCCTCTCCCTCTCCCTCTCCCTCTCCCTCTCCCTCTCCCTCGAGCTCCTCCCACATACGACTGCCTTAAAACGCGTCTGTTTGAGCCCGCGCCCGCGGCATCCAGTACTCGCCGCTTCTTGCGGGCGCTGTCGTGGTCTGACAGTCAGGTGGTCTCCTTCCAGGGCACGCTGAACTGCAGGGTCAAGCGGTCTCGCCACAGCGACCAGAAGGCCTGGAAACGCTGGTCTCCCTGTCACCTGGTGCTCACCGACACCTACGTCCTGCTCTTCAACGACGTCACTGACCCCGCCAGCATCGTGAGCACAACCCTGAGCGCCGTCCGCCGCGGCTCGTTACCAGCTCGCGGACTTGGTGCTTCACTCAGCAGGCCTGTGCGCTGTGGATGTCTGCCGGCACGAGGCGGTGTGGTCGGTGCAGGCCGGACGGGGCGGGACGCCGGAGCCGCCCCTCCGGCCAGCAGTAGCCGGTTCGCCCGCTGAATTGGGGTCGGCCGGGCGGCAGTGGTCTGCGCCGAGGCCCTGGTTTGTCCCAGGCTGGACCCACGTGCGATGTGTTGTCCAGACGAGGCTGTCGTCTGGTGCTGGTGCTGCCGTGTGTGACCTTTGTGGTGCTGGCGCTGCCGTGTGTGACTTCTGCGACGCTGCTGCTGCCGTGTGTGACCCTAGTGGTGCTGGCGCTGCCGTGTGTGACGTCTGCTGCCGGTGCTGCCGTGTGTGACCTCTGTGCTGCCGGCGCCGCCGTGTGTGACCCTGTGGTGCTGCCGTGCATGACCTCTGTGCTGCCGGCGCTGCCATGTGTGACCTCTGTGGTGCTGGCGCTGCCGCGTGTGACATCTGTGCTGCCGGCGCTGCCGTGTGT